GCTGTCAGATTGTGTGTTTGTGATCCCGTTCAGTTTGTCAGGCCTTCCTCCAGAATGAAGGTTCCTCTTTTGTTTATCCAGTTTGCTTCAGAAGTCTGCTTTTGGGTCCAACTCACCACAACAACATGGCAGAGTTCTGATTTTTTCCTGTTGAGGTCTCTGCATTTAAACGACCCAGCGGCCCAAAGCCTCACAAAACAACCGCTCTCATATCAAACTTTAGGACAACAGACAAGGACAAACAAACAGCCTTCAGAAGTGGGTGGCAGCACTCAGATCCACGTTTGGTGCTCGCAGCAGCAACAAGGTCAGCGCCACGTGATTGAAGGGCAGTTATATAACATGCTAAACTCACCATTAGATGCATAAATGGCGTTGGTCACCAGAGGGAGGTGAACGGTCTCAGCGGCCTGACCGTTCATCGGGCTCATCGGTGCAGAGAGGCCAGAGGAGCTGTCAAATGAGCGACTGGGGGATCCACCGTGTTGATCCTGAAACGGGAACAAAGACCGCTCAACACTTTCAAAATAAAACAAAAAGGAGATGTGAATCATACTTTGTTGGATGAAGTCTGGGTGACGTGCTGGATTCTACTTGTTTTGCATGTGGACTGCATTTAAACGGAGAGACGAGCAGTAGCGTGTGAGAGGTTTTCAAACACAATAAGACGCCGAGTGAAGCGAATCCGAGGGAGACACTCGAGAGACAGTGCAGGGTCAAGGTGACGGAGGGGACTGCATTTCCCATGCCCCCACAGGGTTAGAAGCACCTTCAGCACTGCTTCCTCTTTCAGTGTGTGGCACTGAAACCTCGATTATGCGCTCTGCCGCCGCGAGTCCGCTCGAGTCCCGGTGACGTAAATTTCATCATCACATGGTGAGCGCGAGGGTCCGTGTGGATGTGTGTGCAGAACATTACAATGCACCAACTATGCAGCAGACTTGAAGGGGACAGCGAAGTGTAACAGGAAGGACTGCGGGGCGGTCGGGTCTCCAGCGGCGCATGATGGTGGGATGACACTGTCACACCTCTCCCCTCAGAGAACAGCCCTCTGAGGGCCCTGCGCTATCAAACAAAGCATTGATTATACTGTCGATGTGTCTCGTTGTGCATGTATTATTTCTTTAGGAATTGAATTTGCATTTATTTGTCATTTGTGTTTGGGTGCAGAAAACTCTCTGGATTCATTAACATGCATGCATATGTATGCTGCTGCTGCTTTGAGATTCAGTGTACTCTGTTTCTTTGCTGTATTTGCCCCCTCTGCGTTGGATAATCCCCGCTCTCAAACAACAAAGGAGACATAACAACGCCCTGTGTGCAATAAATCCTCCTTGTTGTCCTACTCTTGACCCCACACCCGGCCCAGCCTCCTTCCAACTCCAATCCAGCCTATGCATCCAGCAGGCCCCCTTCCTGGCTCCCCCAGCATGCTTCCCATTAGTTAGTATTACAGTGCAATCAGATTTCTCCTGAATGCTGGAGACACACAAACATGCATCACCCTATGTCTGCGTTCTCTGTTTATTTTCATCATTAACTCCAATAATCATCAGTAACAAGACTTCGTCCACCTCTCTGAATATGAAACCATTAGAAACCGACTTTGTTCACTCTGCTAAAAACACGGCTCACAGTCACACGGCACTTACACCACGGCCTCATTTTCTGTGCTCGTGGTTGTTTTTTCGAAGAAAGACTTTCCAAGGATGGGAGGAGCGCTGCTCTACAAACAGCATTTGAGCCGAACGGGAAAACCAAAGGACTAAAAATCAGGTGAAATTCACTGCATTGAGTTGCAGGTTTTTGGCGTTGGTGTTATTCTGCATGATGAGCACCAACAGCAAGAATCAAAGGGGTGGATGTTTAAAACCTGCTTCTTGTTTTTTTGGGACGTCAGAAGGACCGATGGTCGAGAACAACGTTCCCGCTGAACCTGCAGAATCATAGCGATGCAGGCAGAAGCTGTTTGGATGGGTCCTGTATTAGACGAGCAGCAGAAGTGAGAGATTAGAGAGAGACAAACACAGCCAGAAGAACTGAGGGAGAGAAAATTACACGATTCAGGGAGGGGAAGACATAGCGCTGCACTTTTCTAACACTGAAAAGCATCAATGTTGAGTCCAGAAAAAGCTTTTAAGGTACAGTCTCTTATCTATCTATCTTTGATGCATCTCACTACTTTCCTCATCAGGTGATTGACAGGGAGGATGGCCTAAGCCCAAGCTCACGGCTACATGCATGCATGAAACCAGCTTCCAGTTTATCCAACTAATGCACTAAATCCCACCTTACTACGGCTGTTAACTGATATAAGTCCAGTTTATTCATTTAAACTGCATCTGTGGCTCTAAATACACACACCTTCTCTGAACGGCGTCTATTCGTGTTGATTCGTATCTCTGAGTGTGTGTTTGGGGTGCCTGTATGTGAGCACACTGCACAGCGTATATAGCTTTTTCAATAACCAGCAGGTCATCCGAAGGGTCATCCACACTTGAGCCCACAACACTGGCTTTGTGCGTGCAAGGATTTCTACAGACGGACTACAGAGCCGCGGAAAAGGCACCGGCTGAAAAGCAGGCGAGATGAAAAGCGTCTCTTTCTCTTATAAAGAAAGGAGATACAGCTGAGTCAAGAACGCTGTCACACACACACAAACGCTCTTTTGCTGCTGCCTCTGAAAGCAGAGAAGACACAGTGTGAGGAATGCAGGGGCTTTCAAACGTGGTGGAAGGCAGAGATAACACACAAGATAAATATATTACCCAGACATTTATATGCAGTCATGTGAAAAATGAAGTAGACCCAAAGATTCAGTCGCCTGTAGCATCACCTTTAGCTGCAACAGCTCCAAGTCACAGTTTTCTGTGGGATTTTGTCGTCTCTCACGTGACTGTGGAGGAAATGCTGCATCGTGCTACAGCGTTTCATTGCATTGAGGTCTGCTGTCTCAAAGTTGTCTCAGGGGCTCAAACGGCACATCGGACACCTCCTGCTGTCAGCACGGTGGAAACTAGTTTGGGCCAAGCTTTAGATGTCAGACACGAGGCCTCACGTTTGCCTCCAGAACACTGTGGTATACAGAGGACGACTCGATGGCGCCGTGGTGTCCAGATCACCCCCCTCCACCACCGTGCTGACAGCATGAGGTGTCTGAGGTGCTGTTTGAGCCCCTTGATGCAACTGTTGTTGTTGTGATTTGGTGATACATAAATATAACAGGATCGAAGCTGTACTGGTTTAGTTTTTCTCTAATTATACGTAAAGTGTGTAACTTGCTACGTGAGGCCTGAAGACTCTTGGGATGAATCTGCTGGGACATCCAGGAGAACTGTGGCGTTAACACACCTGGATGCTCCAGACCAGTAAACTCCTAAAACATCTGCTTTTCAGTGTCTGTTCTCTACATTTCAGTTATATGTTTAAGTTTGTTCATCCATGTAAAGCTTCACACCCACCCGAGAGTGTCCTTTTACCCCCAGGTTTCACAGCTCTCTGTAACATTACACATGGTGTTACAGCAGCACAGAACAATTTAATCCCTCCCTATCCTAATAAATACAGCTGCTGGTCACAAATACAATAATTCTTTACTAATGATCAAACATATTTAAACCAGCACAAACTTAGGGATATACAATACTGTCTGAAAGAATTCATTATTGCCGTCAAGCAGACATCGTTCCTTCTATAAAGGCTTTACTGCAGGTGTATTTGCTTTAGCCTGGTTAATCTGCAGGTTGAAGCACTGAAGAAGCCCATATCCAAAGCCTTGTGAGGCCTCAGTAACATCTTCTGGTCTCTTACAGCTGAAGCCTAAATATATTTATTTATTTTTCATGTTTTTACTTAAAAATAATATTAAAAGACTTGTTGATAATTGTTTTTCACATGACGAACTGCTCACTGGCTCATTAGTTTAGCTCATCTATCTATTATATAAAACGACACACAAGGCAAAACCTGTACCTTTAAAGCTCTCAGCACCACCAGCTGGATGGTCCCTCTGACGTTGCCCTCCTGTGACATGGAGCGCCGCAGCGTCTCCATGGCCATGTGATTGGGGCGTCCCAGTAGAGACTCTCCATTTACAGCCACCAGCTGGTCATTGACATGCAGGCGTCCATCCTGTAAAGCACAGAGCGGTTTGCTGATGTGTGCGTTTTCTGCAGTTTGCATTGCAGATATGTCTTTGCATGAACTCTGTGCACGAACACACGCGCCTGTGAGTTAATGACAGCTACATGTTGAATATCGTTTATTTACACTGTGCGGTCTGACATTCTCTCTTTTCAGCGCTGGCAGGAAATCACTGAGCTATGATGGAGAGCTCACACAGACGCTCGCTCACACACACCTGTGGCCTTCACTGAGTGCGTCTGTGAGGTTAAACCAGCCAAAATGACTTAAACCCTGCACACACACATTCTCAAGGCTGCCTGACTTAACGCAGTCTCCACCTCATCGACCGAGACCTCCGTCAACTCAGTCTGCCCGACTGCATCGGCAAGATATTTACAATTCCTCTGCAGCAGGCCCTTTCCATCTATTCCTGCCTGTTTGTGCACAAACACTAACAGCTGCGCCCGGTGCGAGGGTGTGTGTGCATGCGCCGCTCAAACAGAGAAGAAGAGGTCAAAGATTATCACAACCAGGCCTCAGATGAGAGTCTTGTGTGCAAAGATGTCCACGTGGGATGAGGCTCCTTTTCTGTTCATTTACACTGTGACTGGAGCAAAAGAAAACATCGCACTGTACAGATAAAGTGATTTACATGAGTGTATGCATGTATGGGAATACTGCGTCACCTTGTAGGCAGCTCCTCCGTGTATGATGGATTTGATGAAGATTCCCAGATCCTCTCCCGTCTCCCTGGACTTGTTCCCTTTGAGGCTGACGCCGAGCCCCGCCGAGCCGGTGTCGTTGAGGGGCACCTCAAACATGAGCTGCTCCTTTCCATTCTCTGAGACCACGCTCGGCACGCGGGACACCTCGTCCCTCTGGAAGCGGCAGAGAGTAATGGAGGCAGAAGAGGCGAGATGGGGATGATGAAGGGAAAGGGTTGGGAACGGGGTGAAGGCAGGAGGGAGAGGGTTAGCTCATTGAGCTTGAACAGTCTTCAAAAGCTAAACTAAAAGCTTTTCCACTTGAGAGAAACTACCAGGTGCTTTTGAACTAAATTTCTCTCCAAATAAAA